ATTTGTTCATTTGTTTAAAGTCTATCTTCCCCACTAGGCCTATATGAGCTCCATGCAAGCTGGCCTCACGACTATTTCACTCACCATTGAATCCAAGTACCTGGCACAGCAAATGGCAGGTAGTTGGTGTTCAATTCTTGGCGTGAGTAAATCGAAGTTAAATGTCAATACCTTCATGAAGCCTTCTTGACTCCTCTCCCTAAATATAAATTCATCTTCCTTCAAACTCTCTCAACATAATCTATACCTTCTCTTAGGACACTTACAAAGCTTTTTATACTTGTTTCACAACTTCCTATAGGTTTCTACATAGTAAAATTCTTGCAGGCAAAGACTTTGTCTTATTCGTCTTTAGATTTCTGGTGCCTGGCATATAAAAGGCACTCAGTGACAACTGCTAAAAAAAAACAAATGAAGGAAAAATACATCTGGCATGCAGAATCAGAGATCAGAGCACTTGCAAAATATGTGAAGGGTGCTAATTGCAAACTTAAGTGCTGATAGAATCAAATTCCCAACACAGAGCATTTCATCACAAGAAACATTTTTTTTTTTTTTTTGAGACAGGGTCTCACTCTTTCATCTGGGGCTAGAGTGCAGTGGGCTCAGGTGATCCTCCTGCCTCAGCCTCCCAAGTAGCTGGGACTATAGGCGCCCACCACCACGCCCAGCTAATTTCTCTATTTTGGGGAGAGATAGGGTCTCGCTCATGCTCAGGCTGGTCTTGAACTCCTGGCCTCAAGTAGTCCTCCCACCTCACCAGCCAAAGTACTAGGGTAGAATTACAGGCATGAACCACGGTGCCTGGCCACAAGAAACATAAATAAGTGAATGTTGAGAACAAAATTTAACATTGAAGAAATCTACACTTCAGATTATATATCACACAAATAATTCCAACTAAACACAAAATATTGCTCAAATCTCTTACACCACTCTACTCTAGGGCAAGATTCCCTGTTAATATGAGCATTGTACTGTTTTGATGCCAAGAAAATATCTGAGAAATCTGTGATTCATGTCTACTTTCATTCATAAATCAATATATTTACAAGAAAGTCCCAGTCTCAACCATATTCACCCCCCTTCTTTGTCCTTACTGCCAAAGCTTTGTTCATGATTTCAGATTTGTTCTATTCCTACTGTATGATATAAACCATGTTAAATACTTTTTTGACAAAGCCTAGGTCTAAGAAATAAATAAATGGTGCCAGAGACATGTCCCAGGGCTCTGTCTCTCAATTTTGCAATCCATCTGCTATAAGAGATTGTGCACACACTTCCTATGCTGGTCTACTTCTGTCAGTCCTGGTCACTCTTACCCAAATAACCGCCTATGTTTTAAGCACACCAGCTGCCTATTTAAGGCTCATGATGTGGCTGCCCACCAATTTGAGACCAGGAGTCTGTGCAAAGGTGAAAAATCTTTTACCTGCCAGCTGGATCTACCCTTGTCTTCACTGCATCTAGACCTCAATAAGTTTTCTAAAGCATTGTGTCTGTAAATCAGTTATCCTCAGAGTTAAGAACTGTGCACATCTGAATGGCTCCGACAGTAAGACTCAGGTCCCAAGAACCTCTAGGTGGGGGTCTACTCCTCTGCTCTTCCCTTTGAAGAAGGATTTTAGGGAATAATCTTCCAGAGGTGAGTTTGGAATGAGTGAGTGGGGACAACAGGGTCAACTAGTGTTGGTGACAGAGGCACAGACTCCAGACTGGCCAGGATGAGAAACAGTGAGCCTGGAAATGTCAAGTACTGTGAGAACTGGATAGGAAGGATAGTTTCGCCCACTAGGAGGGAAAAAAGGGATGAGATATCCTTGTCCCATCCTGGACCAAATTCATACTCCTGGTGATTATGTTAGCTTCCGTATCTCTCAAAACTTTAGGGAAAAACTATTACATAGGATTTACTTTGATGAAAAAAAGTTCTTACAGCTTGAATCCACACAGAAATTAACTGCTGCATTTCCATTCTCGCCTGAGTTGATAGTTCCAAGATGCGTTCCCTGTGCTCATGGGTAGTGTAAGCAGAATCAGTGAAGTCCTCCGTACGCTCCAAGATGGCTTCTAATGTTGCAGAAAGGTTCTCTTTGGACTGAAAATAAAGATTCTCCCGAAGAGCTTCAACATTCATCTGGGAACAAAAAGGACATATATTCGCATGAGTCAATATTCCAACCTGACCAAAATGGGCTGTAATTTCTAACAGTACCCAGGAAAACACTAGGAATTTCTTTCCTAAGCAGAAGGAAAATACAGCCTCCAATAATTACTGTATTCTCCACTAACCTAGAAGGACATATTGCTCAAGAGCCATCAGTGGCCATGCAAAGCTTCATTCCCAGAGTCATTACACAATGACATTCCAAGAGATCAGTGAATACTAAGGCAGAAAGAGTATCATCATGTAGCAACTAGTAGGAAAAATGAAGCAGCCTCCAGGTAAAGGATTTGTCTGAGAAAATGCCTAGGCAAAGTCCTGGAAGATATTAATATGTTACACCCAAATATGATTATGTGCTGAGCCTGCGGGGATGGGTGTGAAAGGTGTGAGGTGTGATTGAGACCGGAGAAGGCATCAATTTTTCCTTCATTAATTCAGCAAAGACTCTCCGGGTCACCTAACTGGTCTCCCTACATTTTGTTTGATGACCCCAACAGCGCCTCACTGGCCCAAACATCCTCTATCAGGAGGCCTATACAATCTCTCTAAAACGTAAACCTTCTGATATTGCCACCTCCCTCTAATCAGCTCCTCACCATCTATAGAGACTCAAGCCCAAACTTCTATGGTATAGCACAAAATCCTCTATGGTCTTGTCTTTAGAAACCTCTCTAACAATCTATCTCAGCCCCTGAACTCCCAAGCAACCTTTCACTTCAGCCACCCTGTTTGGAGTTCCTTGAATGTGTGATGAACTCATGCTCACTTGGGCAGTCTTTCTCTCGTTCAGCTTTCTAAGATACATTTTGCCACTTCTCCCTTATTTAACCTTTGGTTCATGAAATATGTCACAGAGACAACTTGGGACAAGGGGCAATAAGCAGTGATGCTCAATATCGTGGTTACAATGAATGTGATGATAAGGATAGCTTACATTTGTTTTGTACTTTAAAGTCCTTTCACAAATGTTAATTCAAGTTAATCCTACATATGATCCATTTTAACATGACCGTGAAAATACCAAAGTTTGGGAAGGTCAAGATGCCAAAGGGGAGTGCTTGTTTCCCCTTCTTCTCTCGGTCCAAGTTGTATCTAATAATCAGTCTATCCCAGGTAGACAGGATTTTTTTTTTTAAGCTAAGAATGTGGAAAATAGTAAGGTATATAATTGACAATGAGGATCTGAGAATTTAAACAGAATTAAAACATAAAAATAAGTTATGTTGACCTCACACCATTTATGTTAAGTTGTCCCTTTAAAAAGAATATAGACATGTTTTCAGATAGTAACTTAGTAGAGTTTTGTGGGGTTTTTGAAGGCTATTCATTGATATGGTTTTATAAGATTTGTCCATATAGTCGCAGCACCAAATATAGTAAAGTATCCAGTTTCCCTCTACAAATCGTACTCTCCATCAAAACAAAAGTAAATGCCAAAGAGATAACCACTGAGACTGAGCCTATTTGTAACAGTTCTGCCTCTGGATGCCTGATCACAAAAGGGGCAGCAGCCACAGGCAGCAACATTCAGCCTGACCCAGAGCAAAAATGCAGAGGCAAGAGGTCAAAGACCTGGTTCTAACCTGATTTATTTCCCTAATTATCCTTCGACCTTTGACAACACATCTTCTCCATCTGCATTTATAAAAAGAGAGAATTAGAAAAATAATCTCTAAGATCCCTTTCAGCAATAAAATTTCTAAGAGAATTATTGGTCCTTGCAGCTTCTTTTCCCTCAGGAAGAGACTTAAGGGTAGGACTGGCATCAGATAAACAAACCTAGAGGTGTAAATTGAAAGGTCATGGACTTTGGGATTAGAGAGTCCTGGGTCTAAAGATGGGTTCTAACACTTATTAGCTTTCCTCCCCAAAGAAATGGATATAATTACATCCACCTAAAAGGGCAGTTAGGGACTAAATAAGATATTTATTAAGAGCATGGCCCCTAAAAAGAAATATTCTTTTCATTACTTTCTTTCACCCCACGTTCCTACTTAGACCTTCATACAATTAAAAGTCAAAGTGCAGTTAAGACAGAAAGAGTACCACCCTGTCACAGCCCTGTCTATTAGAGATGTGGATAACCCTTAGCATATTAGATAACTTCTCAGGGTCTTAGTTTTTCCATCTGTTAAATGAGGGGATTGTACTAGATGATTTCCTAGGGCCTGACTCAGACCCTGGAACAGAACGTCTTTTGCCCACAGAACACCTTCACCATCTCTCTGATTTCTGATGAGAAGAAGTCAGTCACACTGCCTGGTTTCAAATTTCAACTCTGGTTCTTGAGAGGATTATATGAGTTCATATGTTTAAAGCACTCAGAACAGGGCTGG